CGCCGCCGGGGGAGGAGGCTGGAGCACCGCGCAGAGCCCGGCGCAGCCGAGGGCGGCTGCAAAAGGCGGCCTGGATCGCCGCGCTGTCCGCCCGCCCGGCTGCGCCTGGCCCCGCCCCCGGCCGACCCCTGCTGAGTAGCGAAGCCTTCCCGGCCCTTAGGCTGGGATATCAGGGTCCTACTTCAGAGCAGGAGTGTCAAGCAGGAAAGCACAGAAACTTCCTCCCTACCGCGCTTTGGAGTCCAGGCCTTCCACCGGCCGCTGGGTCTACAGCTCAAGCCCCAGGGGCACAGAGTTGCTACCTACGGGCTGTGGACACCACCCCCGCAAAAACCTAGGGCCTGCCCGCCGATCCCCACCGCCCCTTCCGGTGAACATTTGTGGGCGGACGCTTCCCTACCAGCCTAGGCCTTAGCCCGCACTGCACAGGGCACTGGTCCACAAGTACATCGCCGAGTAAAAATCCCAGCCAATAAATCACCTGCCCACCATGAAGAGGGACCTCCCTACTCCTGGTGTTTAATGTTTGCCTGGCAAAGGTACAAGAGGGCCAGATTTGGCCTGCAAATCATCTGCAACCTCCTATTCCAGTCCTGGTGGCTTTGGTTCGTCAGATTTCACCCCTTACTAAGTTATGACTCATCACTGTCAAATTTCAGGGCGATTCATAGTTTCAAGGGAAAAAAAAAATCTGCCAAGGCACCAGCAAGCTGCACAGCTTTCTCTGGTCTGAAGAAGTGGCCTGTGTTACCCCACAACAGTATCATTCACATAACCAAGCAGGCATCACTGGCTGTGGCACACAGCATCGCCACAGGGCTGGGGAAGGCAGAGAAGGCCCAGCTCTCAAGGAGCCCAGGCGAAGCAGGGAAGCAGCCAGCGAGCAGACATCTCGGGACCTGCAGGGAAGCGGCCCAGGAACAAAAGGTGGTGGGTGGAGCTTCAAGGAGGAAGCGCCTTGCTCTGCTTCCTGATGTCCTGGAGGAAGGGACAAGGAAGAGTCTTGAGTCGGTCAGGTGGGTGTCAGCAGGGCTTCAAGTCATCCAGGAAGGGCATAAGGACATTCTAGGAACTGTCAAGAGGACAGCATGTGCAGAGAGGAGTGGCTGCAGAAAACTGAGAAGCTGGCAAAGGTGAGGCTGTAGACAGCCCTGAGAACTTAAGGTCCAAACTGCAGGCCATTAGACATGCTGAAGCAGAAGCACTCTCTGCAAAGACTGGAAAAGGTCTGCTCCAGTGGCAGGTGGCCTGACAGGGAGAGGCTAGTGACACAACCCAGGTGTGAGGCAAAGGGGGACTGGAACCATTGTCAGCAGAATTTCTGCTTCTTACTAGGCACATGGCACATGCCTATGATCCCAGATACTCAGGAGGCTGAGGCAGAAGGATCACAAATTCATCTAGGCCTTTTAGCAAGACCCTGGCTCAAAAATAAAAAGGGCTGGGGATGCAGCTCAGTAGTAGAGCACTTCTGGGTCTAATCCCCAGTACTGTAAGAAAAAAAATATTACTTATCTTTTTCCTGGTGGCCACAGAGTCATATGAAAGCCAGGCTTGAATGCACCCAGCCCACCACCATGGCCAAAGGGAGGTACTGCTACAGGGCGTCAGTGCTGCTTTACAGGAGTGCTGCAGCCGCCCACCCTTCCTCATCATAGACAGTGTGAGCAAGTTAGCCAAAGGTATAAACAGGGCCTAAGCTCACCTCCATGTCCCTCAAGTTGGCCCTTTGTAATGAGCACCAAATCAGCCTCATTAAGGAGGGGACACTGTAAAACACCTAAAAGGAACACCCCATACAGTGGCTGGTTTCTGCTGTAGTGGTTGGACACTACAGCAAACTTCAACTGCAAGAAAATAATAAACGGGGCTGGGGAGATGGCTCAGTAGAGTAAGTGCTTGCCTGGCAAGTGCAAGTGCCTGAGTTCATACCCCAGTTCCACTTTAAAAAAAATTAATTAATTAAAATCTGGCTCACTTTCTTAATTTTTGAGCATCGAGTATTGGGTGTAATTTTTGAAAAAAAAAAAAACAAAAAAACAAAAAAAAAACCCCAACAGTTTACATGGGCTAATGTGACTGTGAAGTCCTAAAGAACATTGAGACACTATTCAGCCAGCACAAAGAAGTGAAATCTCATCAGTGAGGCAGGGGAGCCTGCAAGAGGGATGGATATATGGGCCCATGGAAGTCCGCACAGCTTTGCCAGGAAGGTGCAAGGGCCAGGTCACCCAGGAGAGACACCACCTGGGCAGGCAGAAGGGTTTGGAGGAGCTGCCATGGACAGAGATGGGGGGTGAGAGATGGGAGACTGAGTCTGCCTGGAGTCACATGGGAAATCCGAACAGCACTGACAGTGCAAAGCCAGAACCACACAAAGTAGGCTTCGTGCCAGGTGACACACAACAGGTGCATCAGAAGACAGTGACATAAGGAAGGCAGCATGTGAGGAAGGCCAATTCTGGAACCTCAGGGTAAGGTGCTGAAAGTGGATGGGCGAGTTCAGACCCTGTTTCCTTCATTTATTATGATGCCATCAGGTGAACATCATTCTAGTCTACCATTACTAAGTACCTACTATGCCAAGAGCCTCATTTATGGACTCAAAACCCACACTCCCTAGGACAGAAGGCCTATTATTTTCCCCATTTCACATCCAAGGAAGTGGAGAGTACATGGGTAAGTAAACTGAGCTAGGTCATCCAACTCATCAGATGTAAGGAGCTCAAACCCAGCTTCTAAGCTCATGTGCTTTGCCAGCTCCTCTGAAAGTATAGACGATAATGGTGATGGTTTTACGCCATGACACTGCTATGTGTGACTGTGTACTTTCCAAGTCACAGCCATGAGTCAGCATCAGCTCACTCCTTCCCTGCGGAAAGCTGCTCAACACCCTTGTGTCCTGTCCACCCCAATGCCAGTCCCAGGGCAGACACCTGTCCTCTTATCTCCCAACCCACCTCCGTTCTCCAGCCTATTTTATGCTACTGCCAAAGAATTTTTTTAGGGCTGGGGATGCAGCTCAGCAGCACAAGTACCTGCCTGGCAAATGCAGGGTCTTGAGTCTGATTCCTGATAGAAGAAAAAAAAATTTTTTTAACTACAGGTTTCACCCTGCATCCCACCCATCTTCTCCCTGCCCCTTCCTAGAAAGCACTCTAACCTCTGCAGGATAGTGTTATGCAGTCTGGCTTTAAGGCTCTATAGATCTGCCCTGCCCACCTTTCCACCAGGTGTCTATGTCTGGCACTGCCACTTACAGAGGTTCATCTCAAACCCAAGCTCAAATCTTCCTACTCAAAATTTCGAGGCCAGGGTGATAGCTCAGTGGTATAAGCACCTGCCTAGCAAGTGTAAGGTCCTGAGTTCGATCCCTGGTACAAAAATAAACAAAAAACTTCCCCGGCCTGTCCCTCACACTTACTTATTTGTTCAAGGCCTATTTACCCAGAAAGTGTGTAATGCAGCGAAATTGGGAATTATGCCATTTTTCCTCCCTATGGCAACAGGCAGTAGACATTCAGCAAATTTTGGTCTTTTTTTTTTTTTTTTTTTTTTTTTTTTTTTTTGCGGAACCGGGGATTGAACTCAGACCCTTGTGCTTGCTAGGGAAGCGCTTACTCCACTGAGCCATCTCCCCGGCCCCTAAATTTTGGAAACACAAATGAAACCAACCTTAATATGAGGAGGGCCTGAGCTGGGGTGGTCAGAGCAGAAATAGTCTATCCCAGTATTTGGGGGGTTGAGGCAAAAGAATGGCCAAGTTCAAGGCTAACCTGAACTATATAACTACATAACTGAAAGAATGAAGGAAAGAACCAGCGAACGAATTCCAAGATTCTCACAAGTATTTCTAAAGCTAAATCTATCTTACAAGTCCCCTGGGAACAGACTATCTTGTAGGCTTCTCAAGACACTTCCAGAAATACAAATTTGACATCTGGTGGTTGAGGAAACCTACCACAGCTGCCCATGCATTGCAATGATTGTGCTATCAAGTGCAAAGCCCTCCTGGCCCCACTTTAAAAAGAAAA